AACAAACAACGAATGAGGGCCCGAAACCTGACCAGATGCAGGCCGAATGTAGACAAAGAACCCCCACCACCCCCGAAACACTAACCGGAGAGGCCGCCGAACTCGCCATTCCGAACCCTAAACAAACAACGAATGCGGGCCTGAAACCTGACCAGATGCACACCGAATGTAGACGAAGAACCCCCACCCCCCCCGCCCTCCCACCTCCTCAACACACGAACGGTCCCGCATCCGAACGCTAAGCAAACCGCAGACGACGCCGAACCTCACCCAAGAGCATCGCGCCCCATATTGAGACCACATCCAGGGCCGGCTGAATCGGGACAAAGAACACCGCCACATGAACGGGTCCACATCGGAACACTACCGCAGAGGACGCCTAACCTCGCCCAAGAGCGCCTCATATCGAGACCACATCCAGAGCAACACAAACCGCAGAGGACGCCGAACGTCGGCCAAGAGCATCGCGCCTCATATCGAGACCACATGCAGAGCAACACAAACCGCAGAGGACGCCGAACGTCGGCCAAGAGCATCGTGCCTCATATTGAGGCCACATCCAGAGCAACACAAACCGCAGAGGACGCCGAACGACGGCCAAGAGCATCGCGCCTCATATCAAGACCACATCCAGAGCAACACAAACCACAGAGGACGCTGAACCTTGCCCATATCGAGACCACATCCATCCAAAACACAACGCCGCGACACTGCACAAACACCACACACTCCAAATCACGGCGAAATTGCTAGATACCGGAGAAATCAACGACGTCAACGCAATACAAACACGAGCGAAGAGCAAAGAGGGCACACACGTGTCGACACAACAGCACCCCAAAAAGCTGACGTGCCGCAAAAGTAGAGCTCGCAAAACCATTAAGAAATCAGTCCTCCGGCAACAGCAGCAGCAAAGATCAAGATCCTATAGCAGCAGCGTCACGAGGAGGGCGACTAAGCTTTAGGAGTATGGGTTGATAAAGAGTAAGAGCCAATCGTCCGAGTATTGATTCTTCAGATTATTTTACAGTTCATGCCTTTTGCCCCATAGGCGTGTTAGCATTTGTAGAAAAACTGGTTCATGGTGGTGGACCCGTTAGTCCTTATTTTTACGACTGCATCCCCTGCAGTGCAGTACAAACGGTCAAGAATGCTACATGATGGTGCACTGGCATTTCACTGGCAATTCCAAACGTTCCAAGGAAGGAACAAAGCACAAACACCACTCAGATAATGACTCACTGCATGCTCCATTTCTCCATAACCAAGAGCTACCAACACAAGCCTTCAGACTCTGGAAAACCCTCTTCAGAGTCTACCGCCCATCTCAACCACAGCAAACTCCTCTCACGACCAGCATCCTTCCATCCCTCTTCAAAACCAAAACAGTGTGGTCAACCAACTGGCCTGGCTCAGTTGATATGCAATGACTTGCTGTTTTCTGGTCGCCTGTAGCCTCTCTCTGTCGAGGCTGTACCATAGGTAGGGTAGATTCGTAAATTTTGTTTGGCTGAGGGCTAACCGAGAGACCTACCTGTAGTGGAAATTCGTGAGGGACATACCTGCAAATTTGGGAAAATACAGGCCCAGCACTGACTAAATTTCCTACTGCTACCCCGACTGCGAATAGCAGGCCCGGGCTACCCCTAGGACAGACAGGCCCTAAAGGCCTATGCTGATAGACGGTCCTATAGCCTATAGCCGGGTAAGGTAGAGGCCGAGAGGCCGAAACTGAATCAGTACCGGTCAGTCAGTCAGTCCGGTCTAGGTCGAGTCTAGGCTAGTTGTAGTCTATAGATAGAATGGGCACATCGGTTTGGGGCTTTTGGCAGTTGGTACCGAGTACATCGCTGCTGCGCTACACGTGAACCGGAAGTGGTGGCTGCATGAAAGGAGAGGCATAGCCAGACCTTAGGAGCGCCGGCCATAGCTGGGGCCTGCGCTGTACTCTGCCAGCACGTAGGGGCTGTCAGAGGTCGAGGTCTGCTGGAGGCGAGGGAAGTTGGTGCCCTGCTGGACCCTCCTCGGGAGTGGGGTTCCACGGTTGTGGCGCTGCAGCCATAGCTGCAGCTTCTTCCTCAGAGGTCATCTTGTCAGGGTTTGGTGGCGCTGCTGCAGACTTCCATCCGGGAAGTCTTCCGACACTTCGTCATCATCAGATACTGTGGCGCTGGTCTTCTTCTTCATCTTTTGAGTGGCGCTTGGCCTCAGAGGCCTGTATCAGGGTGGCGCTTCCCTTTGGAGGCTGTATCTGGGTGGCGCTTGATGTTTCGAGGGCTCAGGGGTGTCACGAGTGGTTACTCAGGGTTGGGGAGTGAAGTGCTGTTCATTTCTGAGCAGCGCACTGTAGTATTGAGATTATCCTGACAATTCGAGACTCTGAGTTTAATAAACAGTGTGTAACTGGGTTTGGACTATCATCGTTTCATTGTTTCCTGGATGTGATCTACTTGGCTTTTCTTTATGACTGGTTGTGAGGATTGAGTGGAGTGAATTGATCTTTCAGTGTACCCTGTCATATCGCATGGTCAAGTCTTCCACTGTGTTTATCTCTCCCTGTGCGGTGTGATACTCCTATAACCCCACCAGCATGAAAACACCCAAACCGCCCCCAAACACCGTCATACCCCTCCCCCCAATACCCCCTATACCATGGTAACCGACCCGACGTCCGGACCGCCTTCCAGACAGTCCGGTACAAGATGTAGGGGTCCTCTGTCCGGCCCTGGACGTCCGGAAAGCTGCCCACAGCCAAAAATTCAAAAAAAAAAAAAGGGGCTGCCAAGGACATTTTTCGCATCCTCTGCGCCCCCGGAAAAATACGGGGCCGAATTTTTTGTTTCGTTTCATCCTACCGGACAGGGTTCGAAGGGCCGGACACAGGTTACCGTCTCAAGCCCTCGTTTTCGAATGTCCAACCCCCCGCTGCTGCCAGTTTCCGGAGCGGCCCGCGTCCTTCCTTCATCCGCTGAAGTGCACCCTGCAGCCCAGCAGCCATCGCCGAGAGCAGCAGCCACAAGGAGTTAGAGCCAGCCGCCGACAAGAAAGCCGCCAGCCAACAGGTCGATCCCTCTCTCTCTCTCTCTCTCTCTCTCTCTCTCTCTCTCTCTCTCTCTCTCTCTCTCTCTC